CTGTCTGTCTGTCTGTCTGTCTGTCTGTCTGTCTGTCTGTCTGTCTACCTATCTATCCATCCATCCACCCACCCATCTACTACCTACCTACCTGCTTTACAGCAGGCAGAAGAAACCTGTTGCCTATAGCATTTTTTTTGGGGGGGGGGGGGAAGGGATATTGTTTCTATCAGCCCAATCCTCCTGCTGGGCTGTGATTGTAATTGTAGATTGATTGTAATCCTGTGCTTGTAATCCAGGATTTGTTGTTGTCCACCCTCCACCTTCTATTTCTTAAGAAATTAAAAGAACATATTCACCTTTTCTTCCCTTTTCCTTCCCTTCCTGGAATTTATATGTTACTCCTTGATACATCTAAGATGGATTTCTGAGTTAAATGTAATAAAATCTACGTAGAAATAATTGTGTCTTCCCTAAAGTGAAGGTGTTTATACAAAAATAAATTCTCATGAATTCTGTACAATGACAACTGTTATCCATTAACAATGTAAGCACTTCAGAGCTAAACTAAAAAAAAAAAAAATTAAACATAGTTTTTAATAAAATACATTTGTTAATAATATTAGTTGGTTTGTTTATCCAAAATAAATGGGAGGAAAACAGTGGAGTCTAGTGGACAAAAAGGACCAGCAATAGAATAATGAAATCTTAGGGCATTATATGTTCTACAGATAAGAAAAGTGGGGGTTGGGAGCAGGATTTATTGTGGTATTTGGTACTGGATTAGTGATGACAGATTAGAATATGGAGGAAGATGCAGGAAGTATACAGAAGCAATAAAATTCCTCATGCAATTTATACAGACTCCTTGGTTTTATAACAGCTGCCAATAGGAAACTACTGCAAGCCGAATGCTAATCAACAGCAACTTGTAGTTAGCTCTGTGTATTAGAGTTTTTTCATCATGCAAATGTTCCAGTTAAACAAACTATAGCACTTTAAAGCAAGATACCAAAAATGCTGAGAAATGTAGCAAAAGTGCCCCTTTTTTGCTATAAAACTTCACCCATCTCATAATTGTAATACCTTGAAAGATAAAAGGTAAGATGAGTCGGGGCCTGGAAATTGTGTTTTTCTACGATGACTCCCATTTTTTGTGGAACAGCCTCTCACTGGTAGCCAGACTGGTACTAACTCTGGCATTCTTTCAGAGCTGTTCTACAGGGCACTTAAAAGTTGATGTTGGCCTATGCCAGGCTAATGATTTCTGTCGAAACTGTACTGATTTTTTGAATTTTGTTTTAGTGTTTTATTAATCCAAACTGCCATGAGTTCATAATTCTAATGGTGTATAGCTTAAATATATAAAAATACTCTTAATTTTCAGGTGAAGAACTGAAAAATGAAAAGCCCCCAGTTGCAACCCTAAATCACCTATTACAGAAGAAGATTCATTAAATACAGAAAGCTTATTCCTGATTACAGGTAGTCCTCAACTTACAACCATTCGTTTAGCAACTGTTAGAAGTTACAATGGTGCTGAAAAAAGTGACATACAACTGGTCCTCACACTTATGACCATCGGAGCATCCCCATAGTCATGTGATCAAAATTCAGGTGCTTGGCAACCAACATATATTTACGATGGTTGCAGTGTCCTGGGTCACATGATCTCCATTTGTGACCTTCCTACCTGGCTTCCAACAAGCAAAATCAATGGGGAACAGCGTGATTCACTTAACGACCCAGTGATTCACTTTACAACCATGTGATTCATTTAATGACCATGGTGATTCGTTTAATGTGAAAATGTGTGAGGTCACAGGATGCCTCACTTAATGACCACACTGCTTAACGATGAATTTTCCGGTCCCTATTGTGGTCACAAGTTGTAAGCATGCATAGGAATGCACTAAGGAATGTTA